TTTAAGATTTTCCATTTTTCAATGGATCTTCTGAATACATGTTGTAATAAAGAAACACATCTTATTCTTTTAAATAAACTACAGGTGTGGCATTTCAGTGTGCAGATATTTCTTAAGTAAGCTTGAGGGGTTTTCCCTCCCCCCCCTTCTTTTATGTTTGTTCTTTCAGCCCCTTCAGGGCTCAAGAGTCATAACCAGCTTAAGTGACATAAATCCAAGCAACTCACAGTCTATCTAGCTTTCAGTATTTTCTAAGTTGAAAGTGCTGAAGAGATATAGCTGGACTTTGTGGATCTGATGCAAGGCCTATTTTTGTAACTTTTATTATTATTTAATTCCATCTGTTTCTGTGTGTCCATACCTTTCCTCTGTTCCTGTAAAGCTGACTTACTCCCATATTGGCAGATGTTCAGAGGAGTTTATTCTCTGCACAGCCACATTCACTGACAGAGGCAAAACGTAACACATTCATTGTGTCACATAGTGTAGACTTTTATGCTAAGTATTCTATTCATAATGAGTTTTGCTTTTATAAAAGGAGGCTATTTGTCAGTCCTAAAATTAAAGCTACCTTTTTACATAGTGAGGGAGAAACTGTAGTTCTCCAAGATGCTACTGAAATTTTATAGGAACATCACATAGGGTGACAGTTTCTAAATTCTGCTTTTCAGAGATAGCCAGCAGCTGTACCACCTCTGTGGGATAACTATTTCTTGATCTTTACACCAGTCAGAAAGTAAAACTGGAGTGAGAACATCTGCTTCCCTCAGTTCATGAAGAGACATTGAAATCTAAGAAATGTTGACTCTTTCCAACTTTTGGCCAGTAGTCTGGAGCTGCAAAAAGCTGTTCTGTAAACTAGCTTTCTGAACCATTTGCTTTTCCTCAAATGTTTAAAATAGAGGATGTTAAAATCTTGGAAATGAGTGTCGTCTTCCCCTGTCCAACAACGCCTCCCCTCTGGTGGTCAGAACTCATGAAGACATGCAGCGATGAAAATGCTCCTAAAGTCTGTTACTGTTAATATTTGTTTCACTCTAGGCTATTCTCCCTCAGCCTGCTTACCTAATCATATACTTTTTTAGGAGAAGAAACTTTTCCCCTCGAGTCATGCTCGAGCACACTGTTGTGAATGCAATCCTAGTCTATGGTGAACTTCAAAATGCATTCATAGTTTCATTTGCCAGCTGATTAAAAGGACTGAAGTTTCTGCCTAGACTAAGAAATCTAAAGAAGCTTGATATTTCACACCAAAAGTTTTAATGAGATTACTTTTTTAAACGGCTTTGTTTTGTTTTTGAAACTTTTTAACTTCAAGTTAGAACAGACACAATCCTTTCAAATTTTAGGATTTAATGGATTTGGTGGCCTCAATTTGATCTGTATTATTCAGGTGATTAAAAGGACTATTGGTGTGGTTTTTTTTTGGTGCTCTTTTCTTTCTGTCTTTGATTCTCTTTGTACGTACTTTATTCTTGACTCTAAGACTTTGCAGCACTGTTCTAACCAGGTTTTCACCTCTTGCAGCTTGTAGACAGTTTTTGATACAAAAAGAAAGCATGTCAAGAGTGATGCAACTGTTTGTATGGTGGGGGTTTTTCCTCCTATTCTCCTTAAAAAGAATATAAGTAACATAAAAAAACAAAAAAAAAAACAAAACAAAAAAAAAAAAACCAAAACAAAACTAAGAAACCTATAGCTAGATTTATTATGCTAGAAATGGCTTATCTGGACACCAGGGTGCAT